TTTTTTTTTTTTTTGATCAAAACTGAAAATTAAGCATGATTGACTATTTAGTGTTTACACACACAAAAAAAAAAAATTATGTCACCCCAAGAATTTATTTCGAACCCCCAATAATTTGTTCGGCAGCATTGACCACTTGTAACCCGAACACATCCAAAATTGGACAAGTGGGTGACAGCCTGGATCCCGTAATCAGCGGTAATAATATTCTAATAGGTTGTTTTTTTTCTAAAAATAGAACAAAAACACCAACGAGTGGTTGAATCAAGTGGTAAGTGACTTGTTCCAGCTTAAGTAAGGTCTCAAGTTTGAGTCATTGTGTATGCAGTAACCCTCGCTGGGAGACTCACCCACCATTTTCAGGTACACGACGCAGATCAGATCTGGATTAATCAGAACGAAACCCCGGATACCGGACGGAAAACCATAAAAAAAAAAAAAGAACAAAAACAGAAGACATGGCCACCGAAGCAAAGTGGAGACCAGGACCAGTCTCTCGATATGGAGAACGGGGCTGCGAACGTGTTTAAAGGCCGAAACCGCGTGGTTTTATCCCTTAAATGGGCAAAAAGCATTAAACGGCATTAGCACTTGTCAGCGTCCTTCATTTGTTTTTTTCCACTTTAATTTTTTTAATTCAAATTTTAATTTTTTTCTTTACAGATTTTTTAATGCAATATTTATTCATTTTTTTTCACTTAAACTTTTTATACAATTGAATTTATTATTATAAGTTGATTTTATTAAAATGAAATTTGAAATTATTAATTAATAATAGGTTTATAAAATAATAGTTTGAAAATATAAAATATGATTTAAATAAAATAACATTGATGAGATTTTTGAAGAAGCTCTTTTTTGGTATTTGTATTAAAGATGGAGTTTTTTATTAGGTGTTCTATTTTAAGATTAAATAAATAAAAATATAAATTTATATAAAATGATATTAATTGTGATAAGGTAATGGTAAAGTAAATTTTTGTATTGTTTTCTATTATACATGCTCTCAGAATCTCTTTGTTTTGATTCCACATGACTATGCATTCTACTGTAGTAGTAAGAATCGTGATGTTATTATCAATAAATAAAAAAATGATTGCA